ATACCTCTCAGCACCTGGATAGTCTTGGCAGTAGTAGTAGAGATCACAGGAACAACCTCTAGCCACTTGGAATGGCTATAAATAACAACCAGGAAGAATTGCCCCTGAAAGGGCCCAGTGTAATCTATATGTACCCTGGACCATGGGGTTTGAGTTTCCTCCCACCTATGAACTTGGGCCTGAGGCATTTCAGGCTGGGACTGTTGGCACACATGGCACCCATGCACCTGGGCCTCGATGGGTTTATCAAGGCCAGGCCACCACAAATAGCTGCACACAAGTGCTTTCATCCTGACTCTCCCAGGATGTCCCTTATGCAGAGAGATTAAGATTCTAGACCTCAATGAGGCTGGGATTACTACCCTACTGCCCCATAACAAGCATCCCTTGAAAGTGGACAACTCATGCCTCTTTTGCCAGAAACTGTGGAACTCAGTATCAGGGCACGTGTCAGGCCAACCTGACAATACCCACGTCAACACGCGAGTAAATGTGTGATCAGTGGTAGTTTCTGCAGCATTGAGGGGAGACTCAGGTAGCTCTTGAATGGATAGAATGTGAACAGCTGGAGCAGGATCAGGCTCCAGAGTTGGCAGGGGTAATCTACTCAGGACATCTGTATGATCCATTTCCTTTCCAAGTTTGTGAATCAATGTGTAGTCATATGCTGACAGGAAAATGGACCATCTCAGTATACGGGGAGAAAGGATATGTGGGGTCTGTTTGGTCGTGGTAAATAACCCCAGCAATGGCTTATGGTCAGTGTAGATCGTGAAGTGGCGGCCGTATATGAAATCATGAAACTTCCTAATGCCAGCCACAATAGCCAGCGCTTCCCTGTCAATCTGAGCGTAATTACGCTCTGCAGAAGACAGTGTTCTGGAATAATAAGCCACAGGGACCTGTGTCCCATCAGCCATCAGATGGCTAAGAACTGCTCCTACTCCATATGGAGAAGCATCGCAGGCAATGCAAACAGGTAGTTGCTCATTGAAATGAGCTAGTACAGCATTAGAAGTAAGCAAGGCTTTAAACTCATTGAAACTTTTTTCATGGACCTTAGTCCACTGCCAACAGACTTGTTTGTCTAAGAGCCTATGCAAGGGCTCAGCTATTGCAGCTTTATGTGGCAGAAATGCATGGTAGAAGTTTAAAAGCCCCAAAAAGGCTTGTAGTTCGCCCTTAGACTTAGGGCTTAGGGCCTGCTGAATGGCCTTTAATTTAGCTTTGGAAGGGTGAATGCCTTGAACATCTATCCTGAATCCCAAAAAGTCAGTAGAATTGACTCCTATCTTACACTTGTCCTTTTTTAACTTAAGATCTGCTCTTCTAAAACGAAGCAAGACAGCCCTTAATCTCTCTGCTAAGTTTTGAGATGATTCCCCTGCAATGAGGACATCATCAAAATATGGACAGACTCCAGGAATACCCCTCAATGTGTTCTCCATGACACTTTGGAATATGCCAGGGGCTACATTCACCCCAAATTGCAATCTCTTTACTTTAAAAGCTCCTCTATGGGTTACAGTTGTCTGAGCTTCAGCAGCTGCCCCATCAACAGGCAACTGTTGATAGGCCTGTGCCAGGTCAAGTTTCGCAAAAATGCGCCCCCCCTTTAGGGAAGCCAGAATGTGACTTACTACAGGTACTGGATAAGCATGTTGCTGCAGTGCCTTGTTTAGTGTGCACTTGTAATCTGCAGATATACGTATGTCCCCATTAGCCTTAAGAGGCATTGCTATAGGGATTTCCCAAGGACTAGAATCTACAGGTTCTAAGATGCCCTGCTGGAGCAATTTGTCCAGTTCAGCATCAATCTTGCCTTTGAGGGCAAAAGGTACCCTCCTAGACTTGACCCTAATGGGTGTTATGGAAGGATCTAATCGTAATAAAACTGGAGGCCCCTTATAGGATCCAAGCTCAGAACTAAACACATCTGCAAATTCCTTGCAGACTTCTGCAAGACTTAACATTTGCAAATGGTGCAGCTCATGATGTGGATTCCCAGGACCTCAAACCAATTGAGTCCAATAAGACTCGTACGTTCACCCCCAACAACCAACACATCTAAGGGACCCTCAAAATCCTTGTACTGTACCTTAAGGGTGGCCTCCCCCTTAACACACACCTTAGAATTCTGAAAGTCTGTGAGTTTCACGTTGGATGGCCTGAGTTTAACTCAAAGGCCACTGCTGCTACAAATCTTTCTGAATGTGTTGAGGGAAATTATGGAAAGAGCGGACCCAGTGTCCAATTCCATGGATAAAGGAACTCCATGCAACCTTACTTTAAGGGACAGTTTCTTCTTTAGGGGTTTATGTATGCCTGTCCTTAGAACACTTCTGTGTGTTGTGCAGAAACCCACCCTATTTTGGCTGGGGACCCTGGTACCTTTCAGATGCAATTCTTCACTAGGTTGTACCTTCTGACGACCCAAGCATACGGATGCGATGTGGCCTTGCCTGCCGCATACCCTGCAAATGGTGGAGTGGAACCAGCAGTCAGCTTGTTTGTGGCGTCCTCCACACCTGAAACATTGAAGGGCTGTTAAAGCCTTTTCTGTGCATTCCTTCTGTCTCTTTCCAGCTGCCTGGTAAAGCTTGTCCACCTCATCTTCAGGAACTTCTTCCGACTCTTCTCGCACGTTCTCCTGGTGGATGGCGACAGTCTCTGGAGAGCTTCTGGTGGGCCGCATATTCTTTACTGCCCCTCCTGCTGCTTCCTCTGCTGTAACCTCTCACAGAGCATCTTGGAAAGAGACATCTTCCTTAGAGAAGATCTTTTGCTGTAAGTCTCTGTTCCTCAAACCACATACAAAACGATCGCGCAGCCTTTCTTCCAAATCTTTAAACTCACACGGTCTGGCTGCTCGTCTCAAGGCCGCAATAATGTCCTTAGCAGATTCACCTGCCTTCTGATCCCTTTGTTCAAACATGTGCCTCCAAGCAATGATGGACAACTTGGGCTGGAAATGCTCTTTTAGAAGCTCTAGAAGGTGTTTCTAGAGAAGCAGGGCCCACTAGATTTTCTGCAATCTCCAAAGTGTCCGGTCCGCATACACACAACAAGGCGGCAGTCTTCAACCCATCTTATCGAATTTGGTTGACTCTGAAATAGTTCTCCACCCTCGCAACGTATGATTCCCATCTTTCTGGGTGTGAGATGTCGAACTCTGATAAGTGGCCGATCTTCGCCATTGTAGCTTGTGCTTCACCACTTGCTTCTTCGGGGAAAGGGTCTTTCAGCCAAACTCACCCTCCAGCGACACTGTACTGGCAGGATGGATGCTGACTTTAATGCCGTTTTCCCTCTTCAGGACTTCTTTGGGTGAGTCTTATAGCTTCCTTCTATTTATCTTGTGAAGAATCCCACCTTCGTCACCAGTGTTAAGTCCTTGAAGCGATGGCGAAGGATGAAGACACATTTCTGCAGAACAACTCTTTATTATGCTTTTAGTCAAAACTCCAACAACAAGCAAAGACACGCAGGCCTCCTTTTATACGTCCAAAACCCCAGACACAATGCAACATCAAGCACTTTTCACGCCTTGCGCATGCGTGCAAGGCCAGCGCCATTCAGTCTGGTCCCGGGCAGCTTCTGCAAAGCCCAGGACCCTTGCAACGTCCCAAGTCTGCATTTGCAGGCTCAAGACACAACATTAAGTATTTCCACAAAACAGATTTTGTTCCACAATCATATGGATAAAGGAGAAAAGATGGTGCCTGTTTAAGGTGAAATGGGTGATCAGCCTTTCAACACTAAACCTCTGATATAACTAAAGGTATCTTAGATTCAAACTAGCAGGGAAAAAGTGAGGGCAGAGTGATTTCCTTTTTGTGCTTTCTATTCCAGGTCTTATTTCTTTAATTTTCCTTCTTGGTATAAGGAATGGGAGAGAAGTAGCTGAAACCTACTAAGGACTAGCATTTCATGTTGGAGGAGGCATGGTTAAATACACATAGTCCTTGACTTATGACAATAATTGGGATCAGAATTTCCACTCATAAGCAAGGAAGTTGAATTTATGACCATGGTTGTTAAGTGAATTACTCCAGTTGTTAAGTGAATTGTGTGTTCTTTAAGTGAATCCAGCCTTGCCCTGTTGAGTTTGCTTATCAGAAGCTGGGCTGGGGAGGTTGCAAATGGCGACTACATGCTCTGGGTCACTCCATCTGTCATAAATACATGCCAATTACCAAGAGGTTGAATTTTGATCATGTGACCATGGGGATGCTTTTATGGTCATAACTGTGAGGACTAGTCCTAAGTACTTTTTTCAGTGCCCTTGTAACTTCAAATGGTCATAAACCAATGGTTGTAAGTTGAGGGCTAACTCTATTCAGAAAAATTTAAATCTAGTGGGCCTAAAACCAGCACAGAAACTTCTATACTCTCCTCTCTATATTTCTCCTAGCCAGGCTGCTTTTGAGAGGCTGACACTGGATCTTTCCAGCCAGGCAAAAAAGTAGTGTTTGGATCTATTTTGAAGACAATCTCTTGATTCATAGTAAAGGCCTGGAAGCCTCTATCTGGGGATAGGATAACAACCTTTATTGTCTCCTCATTATAACATTACTTTTATTGCCAACAGATTTAATTTTCAGTGATAAACCTAAATCTGCAGTTAACTATCAACTTGCTTGTAAGTATATCTAAATTGTGAATCACTGCAGTTGTTAAATTACTAACACAGTTGTCAAGTGAATCTGGCTTCCCCACTGACTTTGCTTCTCAGAAACTCACACAAGGGGATCCCATAATCCCAGGACACTGCAGCCGTCATAATACATACCAGTTGCCATGCATATGAATTTTGATCACATGACTATGGGATGCTGCAATGTTGAAAAACGATCGTAAGTCACTTTTTTCAGTGCTATTGTGACTTCAAACAGTCACTAAACAAATAGTTGTAAGTCGACTTACAACTATTTGTTTAGTGACTGTTTGAAGTCACAATAGCACTGAAAAAAGTGACTGTATAGAAAACAGGATATCAGGCAACCTCAGAGATGCTAGTTTTATATATACAGAGAAACATTTGTAACAAGAGTGCACATCTTCAATTGTCCCAAGGGCCACGCTAGGATTTGTGAGGTATTTTAAAGTTTGCAGTTCAAAAATGGGAGGCCTATGGCATGGAGGATGCTGATGAAGCGGTGCTTTAACCACCTTGCAATTCTTAAGCCTAGACTTTATAGGAAGAAGCACTATTCCAGATTTCTCTTTAATATAATTGTGCCCTAAGTTAAGTCAATACATACTGTATGTCTCATCTGTTGTGGGTGTGAGAACACAGTGGCGCTTCATTTTGCAATTAAGCTTATCTTCCTAATGCTAATAACACGCATCTCTATCTGCAAAATCTTTCCTTTACCCCTCCCTAATTGACTTCTCCTTTATCTTTATAATCACAATTGGTCTTTGCTTTCCTGTACTGATTCAAGTACATTAATTTTTGCTTTCTCACTGCTGCACTTTTCAAAAAGCATTTGCAAAGGAAACCAACAGCATCCTAGAGTAAACAGAAAGGGACCTTTTATTGGTGAGAGGTCCTTTTTAATGTAAACTATTTCCCCCCCTCAGGCATACTTTCTCCTCCTCAGTTCAGAGCTAATGATGGGGAAAGAAAAAGCCATTTATGATACTAATAAGAAAACTTTCCTTTGCAAGCTAGGCTTAGGGAGACAATAGACCACTCATATTTAATCTGCAGCATCAATTCTATCCCATGTTACCTAACTTTTCTGAACTTGATGGACAATCATTTCTAGCTTCTATGCAATCTGTGGAAGATGCTGCCCTGGAAAAGGGCACAGTTTTTAACAACCCTCTAGTGCCCCTGTTATAATTTTAAGATCTTGTCTTAGAGTGATGCAACTAATGTCCCATTCTAGTTGTATCATTCATTGAGTAGTCTAGAAATGTAAAGTTGAATGGAAAAACCACTGATCTGCTTATATAATATGTGTTGTTATAGTAGACAGCCCAGAAAGAGATCTGTGTTTCACTATGAAAATTTTCATATGAAACAACAGCAATATATCTAACTGTATGTTATGGACAAGCAAATATATTACAGTATAAATGTTTGTGAATTCTAATGCATTGAAGCTAATGGCATTAAGGCTGGTTACTGTTATTTTTTGTTACAATAGGTGAGGATATCTACCCCTCTGTGCCCTCTTTGTTCAGCTTTGTCCCAAATTAAAAGCTTTAGTACACTGCACACTCAGGACTTTGGAATTTTAAAATAAGGCCAAACTATTCACTCTCATCTCTTCAAGTTAAGATCCACTCCCACACTTTCTGTACAAGGATAGGCTTGCCAACTACATTGGAACAAACAACTATTAGGCCAGTTTGCAAGAACAGCAAATTCTGTATTTTGTCAAGTTTCAGCCTTAATTCAACAGATTCTTCCCTCCTATGGAAATGGCTAGTTATATTCCATCTTGATTTGATCCTGATTTGATATACTTCATCTCAATTCCTTGTATTCAAGAAGCTGATACTTATTTAAAAAGAAATTGGTAATTTCATCAGCCTTTCTGGCTGGTTCTCCAGTGGATGCGGAAACATAAGGAAGCCAAAATACTAACACTTTGCATAAAGCTATCACTATGGATCACAACAGCTTGCAGAAGAGTCTCTTGGCAGGTCCATCAATGGAATCCTAAAGAAGGCAGAGAAAATGAAAACAAACATTGCATGTCTCCCTGCATGCTGTTGCATTTGGAGTGGGAACTGCTTTTTCTGTTTCTTCTCTTAAAATTTGGATTAATTTGTATGATACATCCAGTGTTGCATAGATTTCTCAAGCGTGTCATGGAGTTAGGTAATGGCATAAACATGCCAGCCTGAAATCTGAACACAGATATGAACAACTCTTCTGACAGGCACTTTGCAAAATAGCTTACCCACACTAATGAACATTGTTCCATTCATTTCTTGTCAAAACCATTACCATGTACCATAGTGAATAAGCTGTTATAAAACAATCCATTAATAAAAAAATGTGTTAATCTGTTTCATAAGTAAATATAATTGATGTTAAAAAGACACATGAGTCAACAGAGCTAAGTTAATACTCAGATCAGGGAGGGGAAGCCACTGTGTTTGACTTACTTTTAAAAGGCTTTTACTGCTAATTATTTCAAACCAATGACAGACCAGTTGGAAAGGAAGGAAGGAAGGAAGGAAGGAAGGAAGGAAGGAAGGAAGGAAGGAAGGAAGGAAGGAAGGAAGGAAACTGTGTGTCTCTTTATAACTATGTAGTTGTTCTTTCACATCTGATGAATGGCATTAGAATCCACACCCATCTCTAACTAGATTTACAGTATTCCATAGCAGACAAACTTTTGTAATTGCATCACTATTTTAATAATTTAGTTAACCTGTATGATAAATCAAGTGGTGCTTTTTATGTGAATGGGGCAGAAGAACTCCATAGATGTAAATGCTTAGTTATTTGTGCACTTATCAGCCTATATTAAAATCCAATTGTTACAAAAATATTTTGATTTTTTTTTCCTGGCATATTTGAACAGGAATATACAAATAGCTTGAAAATCTATATGCCCTATCATGATTCTGGCTTTCTAAATTGCCCTTTTCTATGATTTGTAAAAAAATAAATAAAAAATCCATTCTAAATATGATGTCCCAAGATCAGTTACTGTATAATATTAATAATGGTTGGTTGATTTTATATACTGTTTTTGAGAAAAGGCAAAATCTTAAATGAACATCCAGTTGGAAATCATACAGCAGTGTCATCCACAAGACTAAAAAAAAAAAAAAAAATCAAGATAGTACAAATGACCCCACGAGCAAAGTCTTGCCCTGCATACAGTGGTAGGATTCAGCCATTTCGCACCACTTTGGCAGAACCGGTAGCTAATTTTTTGTTGCCCAGGTCCAGAATGGATTTCCGGAAGCAGTATCCACATAGAGAACTGGTTGTTCACATATTTCAGGGGTCTTCAAACTTGGCCCTTTAAGGACTTGTGGACAGAATTCCTCAGCCAGTGTGCCTGACAAATTTGAATCCCACCACTGCCTGCATAACACAACACATTTTAAAAAGGGTTTGTGATTTTGATCACATAGTTGTGGCTTCCCTCTTGTCTATTTCAACCTGAAAATCCCAGCATTTACTGACCATGACAGATCCTAACAATATGTCTTTTTTATATAAATATCAAATATTTTTTAAAAAACCCAACCAATATTCAAATATATTGAGCAAAGATGTATATTTTTTTTCAGTCCGAAAGATGCATTGGATGTTTGATTAGGGAGCTGGAAACCAAAACTAAGTTTTACTTGATTCCATTGAAATTTAACTTTAATATAAATTCATTTCACATGACTTATTTCTATGTATTGAATAACTGCCCTGTTTCATCACATTAAAAGTTATAAATCAGTGGTACCTTTTAATGAATGCTGTGAATTATGCACAAGTAGTTCAGTAGTGCAATCCATAGCATATGCATCCATAGTGCATAGAATATTAATACTCAAAGAGAGGGATTCCTTTAATCTGACTAGTTAATTAAACCAAAGTTTTCAGCTTTCACACTCTCTTCTCTAAGCATCATGTTTTATACCAGCTACACTTCCCAGTAAGTGTAAGGGTGTTCCAGATAATAGAAGGCATGATCATGAAATGGGTGCTAACGCATTCTTTCATTGTAGCCACTTTCAAATGAAAAACTAAGTTATGAACTTTAGACATCTCATGAAGTAAAAAGTAAAGGAATTCCTGCGGATTTTACTCTGCTAGTCATTGCTGAGTATAGGGGGCTATGCTCATCTCCGTTTCAAGGTCACTGAGTCAGCGCTGTCTGAAAATATTTCCATGGTCATGTGGTCAGCATGACATCACGGAGCAATGTTACCTTCCCACTGAGGTGGTACCTATTTATCTATTTGCATTTGCATGCTTTCAAACGGCTAGGTTGGCAGGTGGGCCAAGGATGGGAGCTCATCCCATTGCATGGCATTCAGATTTTGAACCTAAGCTGCTGGCTTTCCAGCCAATAAGCCCAGCATCTTAATTACTGAGCCACTGTGCTGCCCCATCTCATGAAGTAGCAGTGTATAAACTTAAATTAGCTTTATGTGTGATAGCAAGTAGACCTTTTGTGTGTAACACACCATATCAGATTTTCTGTTTGACAATGGGCAAATACAGTATTTAAATTGGATATTAGCCTTTGACTTATTTATACAATGAGAAACTCTTTCATATTGATAATGTGCGCTCTGTTGAAATAAAGCTTCTGCAGACCTGCATGAAGATTCAGAACACACACCAAAAAAATAAGGAGTAAGCATTTAACCCTGCCCTTTTAAGCATTTAACCTTGCCCCTTTAAAATCTAGAGAAGCATATTAAAATTTAGGGAGGTAACCCCTCCCTCTAGCACAGGTCTGTCCTAAAAACCCACCACCATTACTCATCCTCTTCAGTCAGCTTAATAACTTGAGGCAGACTCTCTTCTTTGAGCATCATGATAACCCCACCTGGGTGGAGCTTTGCCAAGCCTTCACCAGTCATAGTCTTGAGTAGGTATCCTCTTAGGCAAGAATGCCTTCCAACTGAGATTCAGAACTCTGTTCTTGCTACACCCATAGTCACCTACATCAATCAGCATCATCACAAACAAATCAAGATAACAAGACGAGTGAAGTTTTGTTTTTTCTATACCATTTGAAGAATTTCTTTGTTTTTACAAGAATTCCCTAGATAAACAACTATGACCAGACAATACAAAAATATAAAGATCCACAGTAAATAATTGGAAGTTAAAGAACAAAGCAGAGCAACAACTAGCAAACATAAATGTCAACATCTATTAACCCCAATTGTTTCTGGAAGAGAATGTGAATTTGAAAGGTTTGAAAGAGGGGTAAAAGAGGCCATGTGTGTTAAAACTGAACAGCCCTCCCTCAACAGAGGGGGAGGGATAAGAAACACCTATTTCCTGTCTACAACGCAGTCCTTTCAGCAGTTCCAAAAAGATTCCACATTCATTTGCGCTCTGATTCAGGTGACATTGGGGGCACAGATAAAATGGTCTCAATGACTCTCATAAAAAGTGCTAACGACCAGATGACTGCAAAGAACTCTGATCCTTCCACTCCCCCTCCATCCTTTCACAACTAAACCTTCCACCCCAGCCCCTACCATTGGGTCAGAACTGATAAAGCTTCTTGAATGAGAAGTGAAAAGTCTTCTTCCTCAAGGAAAAAAACATAGTTCAGCTGCTTTTTGAAAAAAACATGTTTGAGTCAACCATGACTGAAAATCTCCATAGACATTTAACTTTTGGAAGGCTATTCAAGAAAAGATTGATCTCTTGCCAGATCCCTCCAGCTTTATATAGGAGTCAGAAGGGTCATGGATGAAGACCACAGGTGGCAGGAAATCTACAACATTGTTCTAAACTGTGCTTAAACTTCTTTCTGGATAAATGATTTTCGGCTTTTTGGTTATACTAAACTTCCATGTCGGAAGCATGGTGAAAGGATCAATTGTGACATCACTATTGCCTGGGGGATGCTCAGTTGGGGTCTCCTTTCAAGTTCCTGTTGAGCCCACCAAAGTGGTACCTATTTATCTACTTGCATTTTCACACACTGCCAAACTGCTAGGTGGGCAGGAGCTGGAATGAATTATGGGAGCTCATCCTGTCACACAGCAGCACTTGGGCTTCAAACACAGGCTTGCAAATTGTCAATCCAGCATCCTAACAAATTGAGCCATCATCTTCCAGCTTTTTGATTGAAAAACACCTTTGAAATATTGAATACCCTGGACACAGGAAACAAATGGCTATCATGGGACAAAGTTTATGCCCCCCCCCCAAATGAGTATAGGGTAGATAGAAAAGACTCATTTATCAAAATATTTATGAAATTGATCATCATCGTCTCTTCCATTCCACAAAGATGTTTCTTATGAATCACTTTTAGCCTCCCTCCCCACCCTTGGGCAAGTTGAAATATTATAAATAAAATACTGGGCTAACTATCCTTTGTAAATGTTCTAACAATGGAATCAAATTGTGGTTAGAGATTCAACATATCCATTTCCTTTTTAAAAAAAGTGAAATAATAAAATCAGGTAGAGAAAGAACTGAATCAGGTACCTAGTTCCAAGTTTCCAATCTCTTTTCCATATGGCAGTTTCTTGCTTATACATCAGTTAAACAGAATCATGGATCACATTTGATTATATAGATTCTGTTGGGAATTTTGGATGAACAAATGAAGGTAGGGAGGAGGTGAAGTAATTCAATAATGCCACCCTCTCCTCCATAAATCTTTCACACATATATGAGAATAAATCTGCTTTGAACTTAGCATCATTTCCATTAAGATCATCCTTTCACCCCTGATAATATAAGTTCCTGCAGTTCCTATATCTGGTTTGGATGCAGATCTTTCCTTTGTCTATTCTAAGCATCATTTCCTAATACATACATTGCATGTTTGGCTACTTTGAGGCATTCATAGAAATTATGTTTATAAGTGGAACAATAAGTGGGTAGAAGAATTGTGTATATGGAGAGAGAGAGAGTACTATTGTTAGAAGGAAACTACTCTTGCTTTCTTTTCATCCTCTATTAAATTAATGCACTTGAAATAAAATAAAAAAATGAAA